CAGTACTGTTGGGTCTGAAAACGTAAAGGACAGATGAGTGAGTATCCCATCCCCCATGGAGAGCACTAAATCTGCATTCCTACACAGAGGAGGAGATACAGGGTCTCATAAATCTGCCAAAGGGCTGATAAACAAAATGCTCTCAAGGTTGTTCCCCACCCACCCGCCCCTCGCCCAATAAGGGGCAAATAGACCAGCTCATCAAAAAGAGTCCACACACGGGAATTCATGGCCAATGATAAGAACTCACCTAACCCTTACCCTAACCCACAGTTAAAACGTCCATAAAAAGCCCCACCAGTTTTAGGGCTCCACTGCACTGCTCTAGCTGTAGACTTTCCTTTCTCTAATAAATCCTACGTTGTGTACCGGCCTTGTCTCACAAGTCAATCAGCTGCCCCACGTGCCAGCTGTAAAGGCAAGAACCCTCGATACCAGCCCACAACATTTCACACCAGCACCTAACAGTAACACACACACACACACACACACACACACACACACACACACACGCGACAGGGAAAAATACTCATCATTCGCTTCTTACTTAAAAAGAGTTCCTTTTCTCACCACTCAGAGATAAAAACAAAAACCCGTAGAATTCAAGAGACAAAGAAGGAAAACACAAAGAAGGAACTTGCCTCACTAGGGACAAAATTAGTCCTAAACTAGACATAATGAATAAAGGTTTTAATATGAAAAGATGTTATTTCCTAGTAACTTCACTGCATCCCAAACAACAAAATGTTAGAATTTATTTTAATTGTCCATTTCTCAATTTGGATTACAAAAATTATTTTATAAATTTGTGCATTTTGTAACTGAGAACCAAATTTTATAAATGAAAAGAGAAACATTTAACACAGAAATAGTCATATCTGATTAAGATATGTCAGAAACCCGTAAAATTCCAAATATTTTCCTGTTTCTAAAATATTCTATTTGCCCATGTTTCTGAAAGTTGTCCAATAAAATTAGTAAGGAGCTGATTTTTTTTTTAAAGGCTGAATTGCTAAAATCTGACCCACCTACATTGATTGTTGAGTCTTTGGGTACTGCCCAGAGTTGTGGGGCTTATATGCAGGTTCTAACCAGGTGGTTCTGCTTGCCTGATAACTGCTACAGAAGCTTTGTGTCAGGAATGCACAGGGACACTCTACTGAGGGTGGATTGCCTAACAGACTCGACACTTTTCCATTCCTTACAGATGTTGACATTCTAGATGCCACTGCCAATTCCACTTTAACAGCAAAGATTGATCCTGATAGGACTTCTGAAAGAATTTACACTCACCTACATGTGACTGGAAGCTATTTCATGAAATTCAACACTGCGGCCACACAGACACCAGTGGATATGTATTAAGTTGCAGATTTTTCTTTAAATGTTCATTACTTTTATGGGTCTATATAATGTATTTAAAGGTTAATCTTGCTTTAATTCATGTAGCACATTAGCTATAATAAAATGATATCAAGTTAAGAAAATAAAATTAAACTCAAACTGAGACAAAAATGATAATGTAGTGTGGATGATGGTTGTATAAGATTTTGAAGAGCTTAAGTATCTTACAGAAAAGTTTATCTAGCAGTCTTAAAGAAAGAAATAGAGAGGCTAGGAAAAACAGACTTTTTAAAAATAGAAACTCTAAAATTTTTGTAGCAAAGAGAAGGAATGACAAGAGGGAAAAGGGCATAGACAGGCTGACTGTTATGTTATAAATGAAGTGAGAGAACACATGCAAGCTTCTTACCCATTAGTAAAATATGCAAGGGGTCACTTCCAAATGAAATATTATAGGCATAACTAGACACATGGTAGATATGATGAATGAGGAAAAAAAAAAAAGGACCAGAAGTCACCTGTCAAGAAGTTGCTATGATGGTTGCATGCAGTACACCAGGGCAGTAAACAATGAAAGGAAAAGATTAACCAGCACAGAGAAGTCCAAAGGCCATGTCTTAAAAATTTACATAATCTGGGCTTAATCACAGGCTTTAGAAAACTGCTGAGAGCCTGTGACCCTCACTCAGTTTCAAAGTCCAAAGTGTTTTAACAGTGGCTCAGTTTTAAACCATCCAGTTCCAAGCTGAAGAGCAAATCACTTCAATTCTTCTACATTTTGCACTGCAGATTGAACCCAGGGCTATGAGTATGCTGAGTACATGTTCTGCCACTAAACTGCAACCCAGCAAGTTAAACAACTGCTCAAGATCACGAGCAACTCAGGAAGGCGCACTTTACCCACTTTGTCCATGGGAGCTTCAACTTGGTCCTTGGTGTATTTATCTTGGTTTATTATCTTGATTCTAAATCATAAGTTTATCAAAATAAAATACTAACCAGAGTCACTGTGTGAAGACAGAATAATTGGTCTGCAGAATGCATCCTTCAGTAGTAAATACTTGGTGTTGGATGAACCACAGCTCTTTATTCTGTATGGTTACAGTTAGAATTAAAACTGGTTTCAATACACCCTCCCCTCTGTCATCTGGCTTTACTGCCTGCCATTAAAGAAGTCATCTCTTTAAAATCACGTTCCAATATAACTCATTTAGTTTGTATTAATTCATTTAATCATTGTATTTGTTAGTTTTGGGTTCTTAAATACCGTAGAATTATCTAGCAAGCTTTAAAAAAGAGCAGGGATGTTGTAAAAAAGAGAACCCCAACACAAAAAACAGGCTTGGGTATGGTGATGTATGCCTATAATCCCAAATACCTGTGCTCCCAGAACAAAAAAAATAGAATGGCTGTATCTTCCAATATACTAAATAAATGTTGTAAGTACAAATATCAGAAAACAGAATTTTCCAGTGTAAATCTTATATATATTCACTACCAATAATATGTAAATCAGTAAAATGACATTTTCCAAGTTAATTATGCATATGTATATACAGGCAAATTAAATGACACTGACAAATACATCTTCATTAAGGTGTGCATTTTAAGCTTGCTACTATATATTTTCAATTATGAGTTAAGGACAAGAACCACCATCTGCCTGTGAATACATTCTTAAATACTTTAAAATATTCATACAGCTATATTATCTTCCAGTTCGTAAGCAAACGTCTCCATAAACCTCTCATGAGTTTATAGCTGGTGGCACTGTAACTCAGAACTTATTTGGTATACTATTGCTCAATGGGGCATCAGATACTATAATTATAATTATAATCATAGTGTATAGTATAATTATAACTGAATTATAAACCACTTTATTGGTAAGGAATTTTTATGCAGTGAAGAGAATCTACATGAAAGAGTCCCAAAATGATTTCAGATTATAGAATAAAATTTATGAGACTTGTAATAAGGTTTATCTTTAAATATATACATGAAATGTAGACAGTGATTATTAATGCATGTGATGGATGGCCTATAGTTTTGCTATGCCCATATTTATCTATAGGCTCTGAAAAGCAGCAGTATATATGATTTTTGCAAATTTCAGCAAAATATACATTAATGTAAAATTCAAAATTCCAATTGTTGTTTAAATGTACAGTTCAGGGGCATTACGTACATCCCACTGTTGTGCAGCCATCACCAACATCCATCTCCAGCACTTCCTTATCACTCCAAACAAAAACTCTAGCCTTCTATTCTCCCTACTCCCCAGCCCCTGGCAACCACCATCCATTTACCATCTCTATGACTCTGTTAGGTACTTCATGTAAGTGTAATTATACAATATTTGTTCTTTTGTGACTGGCTTATTTCACTCAGCACGTACCACGGGTCATCCAGGTCATGATATGATATCATTGACTAGTAGTCCATCCTATGTATATACTATATTTTGTTTACTCATTCATCTACTGATGTATGCAAATGTGGGCAGCTTCCCCCTTGGGGCAATTGTGAATAATGCTGCTATGAACACTAATGTACACATTATGTGTTCAAGTCTCGATTTCAATTCTTTGGGCTATATGCTTGGAGTTGGAATTGCTGGGACTTATGGTAATTTTATGTTTAATTTTTTGAGGAACTTCTACACTATTTTCCATAGCAGCTATAACACTTTACATTTCCACAGCAATGCAGAAAGGTCAGAATTTCTCCACAAAGAAATTAATATTTTTAAGAATGAAAATATGAATTAAAATTTTACGATATACTTTCTGGTCTTGTTTCTTTTCATTATCCCTTGCTTTTATTACTGAGATAAAAACCAGGATTTATGATGCAAGACTAAACTCTAATTCTTCAAAGTCTTCTGACAAAGAGACAGAAACAATTAAAAGTTATGAAAGCTAATCCAGAGTGTAAGTCACAATAAAGAAAAAAAAAAACTATACAGCACTATATACAAGTGGATCAAAGGACAGTTTTCTCTTTAAAATCTTAATGCCACACTACATTCCTTAAAATGTAAGGGCAAATTAAAGACGAAAACTGAGCAGGCAGAAACAAATTCTGATAATAGTCAACTAAAAGGAAATATGTGTAAATGAGGAACAATGAGTTTTGACTGCCAGGTGGAGATTAAAGAAAACATAATTAGCTAATATACACCTACATCTTCTGAGGCCTCTGAGAAAGATATAATCAAGAATTTATGGGGTGGGAGAGGGAAAAAAATGAATTTAGGAGTATTTTTTTCTGATATGTTTTTCAGACTATTGCCTAAGTTGAATGATGATAATTTGGTTTAAAATATATGCTTTTTAAAAAATATTAAATAAAGGAACATTTAAAGGAATGGAATTAGTAAAACATTCAATAGGCTAGAATTAGAATAATTTTAGAATTAGAAGTAATCATCTAACAAAAAAGTACAATTATAAGATTCATAAGACAACTTTTTAAAATGGATATACAAATATATAATTTCTCAGAAGCATTACATTCTTCCTGTTATGATACTTAACAAAAATTCATGTAGACATAAAAATTTGCATGGTCCTAAATTTGCTTATCCTATATTTTAAAAATAATATTTCACATATATATATATTTAAAAGTTCCACATGAAAAAACAGACTTCACAAAGCAAACCTATAATCTGTATTTTACAAAATATAGCAGTATAACTTTAAAACATTTTTTGACATTTTAGTGATAAGTTCCAAATTTCTTACTAAGGAAAGATTGAAAAATTAATTGAATTTCATCAGAATTAGCTCAAAATACAATTTCAGCACTACTGTCTGGAAATGAAAGAATACTATATCCATCTTTCAGTTACTTCAGAACTGTCCACATAGGACTTTGATTAATTTAGCTACTATATGCACATTGAGACTATTTCCAAGTAGACGGTAACGCTGCTTCCTTGTTATCCTCTCAGGAAATCCTAGAAAAGATAGGTAACAATTATAAGGCAATCGTTTGTAATCACAATTTCTAGAGCTAAAAGGCATCTTTTAATAGGGGCACAATGGCCATTTTATAAATAGTCATGTGTCATATAAAGTTCTTTCAGTCAATGGCTTTTTTAGAATCTTCTATAATATTAAGATACTGAAGGGAAGGAAAGGTTTAAAACAAAAAGATTTATAAAAATCATACGTGTGTATCTGTGTGTACTTTATATATAGATAGTAAAGTCTAAATGAAGTTACATAATTTTTAAATTCATAGATGACTTTTAAAAACTTAGATACAATAAAATAATAATCCTTGAAAACACAGAAACATAGAATTGCCAAGGTTCAGATAATAGCTTTCATCCAGTAAGTACAAGTTAGTGTCCCTCTCTTCCAAAGCCTGCTGCTTCACAGATTCATGCTGCTAGTCACTAAGAATCAGGACACTATGTACACAGGATCAATGAAAATCCATCATTGCCAATGGACAAACAGCTCAAACAATGCCTGTTTTTGGACTCAGAGCCAATAATGTTGGAAACACATGAAGGATAGTTGTCCCTTGGTGCTGTTCAGTGGTAGCATCAGGGTAAGCTTGTCTACACAAATATATCACATATCTTAAAAGAAGATTCAGCAATTTAAAAGCCATTCAGAGAACTTTGAAAAATTCTGTTACCCACCTAAAATTAAAAAATATTAATGAAGGTTATAAAATTATTATCCTTCATCTGAAAATAAAAGCTAGCACAAATTTTCTATTGTCTTAGATATTGTATAACCATTTTAAGTATATAAACTCACTTAACTGTCACAACCCTACGAAGTAGGTGCCATAATTATCCCTATTTTACAAAGGAGATAAGTAAGGCTGAGTGAGGTGAAGGTGGGGCAAGGACTCTGGCCTCTGTGCCCCTTACCAAATTTTAGGATTACCAAAGAGACCACACTCCTGGAATAACACAAGAACAGTAATAAGACTTAAGAATTCATTATTTTTAGATAACCAGTCTCTTTTCTCTCTAGGTAGTATGTAAAGTATGTCTGATTGTTCAAAAGAAGAAAAACATAGTAACTGGGAAAGCAGAACTGAAATTAGAAGTGAGTCCATTCTTAACTCTTTGCTCTGTGATGTTCTCACTCACTTTGTGACATAAACTAAGACAGGGAAGTCTGTGGTTTTCTTCAGTAATAGTCCCCAAGGTATTTGGGACTGAATGTGATACAAAAGAAAAAAAAAAAAGGAAAAAGACAAGAGAGGAGCAGAAAATAAACCTGGTTGCTGTGACTATGCCCAGAGAATCAATTGCTAAGAGTCATTCAATTATATTGCTAGTTTGTTCCCAATGTACAAAAGGATTGTGTTCCAAAACCACATCTGTAACTTCACTCTTTAGAACTTGAAACATGATCTATTTTACCCATTATTTACTTCAATAACAGTACTATGTTAATATTACAATATGAATTTCACAAAGTTTTACTTTTCTATATTCAAATTCCCAGGGTTCTCAAAAAAGCACATTTCATTCTTCTGTAGCCCTGAAAACATGTAAGAGAAGTCTATCTTTCCCTCTGCCCATTAGCTAGGTACTGTGAACACACTCATCCCAGGCCTAAAAAAGCAAAGGCTTTCTTACAGCTGAGAGCCCTGCCAGCAATGAGATCAGGGAGCGGGCACTCAGCTGCTCTAAGAGGCCTGGGCAGTGTGTCCAGTATCTTAATGGCAATAATCTCTGAATTTTCTGAACTGCCAGTGGAATTAGGACTTTGTCTTTTTCACTCTATAACTTTCTTTGCTTTTGTTCTTGAGATGCACTAATCTTTGGTCAGTTCTGGTTTCTGTGGTCTTGATTTATCCCTTTCTTTCCTTTGGAAAGGGCTTTTCTAGACTGCCTCTCCATTTCTTTTCCCCCATCAACTAACCTTTGCAGGGAAAAACGAAGGGACACAACTGATAAAAATATATCTTTGTGGAAAAGAACAAATAAGAACACATCCTCTGCCCCCTAAAACATTCCTCAACTGAACTGCCTTTCAACTTTTCCATTTAAAAAAGCCAATAGAAGGTTACCAGGATAGGATCTCTAGAGGCAAGAAGACACATTGAAAAGAGGATGCTGTTAGTAACCGTCTACGTGAGGGTGAGGAACTGCCAATTTGCACCCCCCCCCATGCAAACTCTGACCCCTGCTAGAATCAAGGGAGAGGAAAAATGGAGTCAGAAGGGAATGGACTGAGGCATTAGGGAAAGGGAACAGAAGGCAGGAAAACAGCAAACATGATACCATTAGGGAAGAAGGAGGTTTCCTGAACCCACTTCTCTAGGCAAGGGTTTATTCATAAAGTGCACATGTGAGTCCCTAATGAAATTTTGTGAGCTTTAATAAATAAATGCTGAGATCTGCATGGATCCTACATACCAAACTCTGGAGGAAATCCAAGGAGATTTGCTATTTCTTTAGGAGTAAAATATCGCAGTTTAAGCAGCTCCAAGTTTGTTATCTTTTCTTCTTGTGGCAAATTGGTAAGAGATTTGTAGATATTCTCAATCTGTAAAATAAATAAATAAATAAATAAATAAATAAATAAATAAATCCAAGATAACTGAAAAAGTAATGTGTAACCAGATTTGTTAAGATAAATTTTCCAGTTGAGAGCAGCTTAAAAATGATGGATGAATATAATGCATATAATGATGGATGTGGTTTCTGCTAAACCACATGGTACCGAAGTGTCTCTGTGTAATCAACTATACAACTGGCTCAGTAATGGCAACATAAACTTTAAAAAAAGAAGAAAATGCTGCCATTAAACAGAATGGACTACTTTTCAGTACAGCTGTCATTTGTGACCCTTCAAAATTAAATCATAAACAGTAAATGACAATATAGCCTATAAGAAAGTGAAAGATAACAAAGAAAACTAGGTCAACCAACAGAGACAACTTCACAATGCTAACAAGATCACTAAAACATTTATTGCTTATAATCAGTTTCACCCAATTAAGATACTTTCTTATCTATCTATCTGTTATCATCATCATATATCCAATTTTTGTCATACTGGAGTTTGAACTCAGGGTTTCATGCTTGCTAGGCAGGCACTCTACCACTTAAGCCACTCCGCCAGCCCTTTCTTGTGTTGGTTATTTTCAAAATAGGATCTCACAAACTATTTGCCAGGGGCTGGCTTTGTACAACCATCCTCCTGATCTCTGCCTCCAGAGTAGTCAAGATTACAGGCATGAGCCACCTGAACTAGGCTAAGATACTTTCTTAAAATAAAGAAATACATTGAATATGACTTCTCAGATCTAGACATTCATTTGTCTGTGATAGGATTTTTAACATGAGTAAATTTTATTAAGAGTTTGAGTATAAAAGATGATGTGATCTTACAATTATTTAAAAAATGTGTAACTTGCTACATACCAGACCCATACTAAAGCATGACATGATGAAGAGATGATAATTAAAGAATAAAGTACTTTGTGAAAACATGCTTTTGCTTTAGAAAAAAGTTTATAGCATGTGTTACAAAGAAAGACTCCAATATTAAGGTATCTATGCAAAATTTAAGAGTGCTAACTACTGCAGGCTAAATTTCAATTTATTATTTATGGAATAAAAGGAAACGTAAAATATACCAATAAGAAAAAGGAGAATAAAAATACAAAACATTCCTTATAATAAGAGTCATTCCATAGTAAATATTGTAGAGATCACTGTATACACATAAATGACTAACGTATATTCATTTCCATTTTCAGATTAAGTATGAAACAGTACCTTATCTAAAAGCTTTGAAATATTTTAGTGTTAGAACATACATGGTACCTGTACGTCCTCTGCAGTCTGTAGCACAGATCCTGTCCCTTCTACGTAGCTTCCATAACTAAAAAATTAACATGATCATGCAACACATAATGTATTTTGTTATGCTAAATTTCTTACAGCTTTCTTGAATGACTTAATCCACAGTTAAATTCATCCAAATTATCTTTACTGGCATCACATAAACATGTTTGTAATTAAAAAATTAGTAGGTAAATGACATAAGATAATTCCACTTAAACTTTTCAGAAACTAAATGTGGCACTTTTTTTGAGTTGTATAAATACCACTGAATTATGTATTGTCATTTTTTGTATTGACATGTTTCTAATATTCATTTTTAGAAAGTACACACTTTATATTCAAAGGGTATTGAATATTTGTTTTTTAATAATGCCTGAACATCATTTCTTCTCAGGATCCCACAACCTGGTTCTCTAATAGAAATATGGTTCTATTGAACCTTCATGTGCCTCTCATTTAACCTAGAATGTTTCTACTGTCATTTTCATATGAGAATTAGACCACTGTATAAGAAATTACATAAAAAGCATAAAACATCTCAAAAATGAAAAATATAGTAACATTTATTCCTCACTACCATTGTCAAGCTGGCTGTTCAACACATTGACCATTGTTTTTCACAATAAGAACAATTCCTCATGAGGGAAAATATTTTTTCTAATTGCTTTTCATGCATACTACACATAGAAATATATGTGTACATATATATTATCTATAATAGAATAGTCCTCTCCAGTAAGTCTTCTTTTATACCATCTTTATAATTATAAAGAATCTGAAGGTTGCTTTTTTATTGCAAAATTGATAGGTCTTTTTTTTAATGAGGGTCCTAAACAGAACCTATTGAACTTGGTAACAGACAATAGCTGTGTGAAGTCATCTAAGGTAATGTAAAGCAATAAATCCTTTTTCCTAGAAGTGCAAGGGCAAAGTATAAAATCAGTACAAGCCTGGTATGGTTTTATCAGGGACACAATGTCTTGTCTAAAACTGCTAGCTAGTAGGTAAAAGAGAAGGCTTGAATTGTCAAAGGATACAACTACCTATGAAAAGAGGCTGAGTTGCCTTCACAAAACAGATAGGGGCTTGGGCAAAATTTTTCTGAAAAGGCCTAATTTCCCCTTTATTCTAGGTTTGAAAACTGATGAAAAATGTATTAAGACATTCAAGAAATAACCAAAAGGAAGCCCCTAAATGTTCATCAGCAGGTAGCCAGCAAAACAAATTATGATACCTATACCATGAAAGTAAAGACCTTTATGTGCTGCTGTGCAATAATATCCAGTTTATACCGTGCAGTGAAGAAAAGGGTACATAAGAATATATATTGCAGGTTACTATTTACTTAAAGGGGGAATAAAATATAATGTACACTTAAATACACCCTCACAAACAATAGCTCTAAGGAGTTATACAGCAAATTGATATCATGTGTTACACAAAGGGAGACAATGTATGGTCAAGAGCCAGATGAGGGGAGATGTGATGAGGCTTACAATCTTAGTACCTTTTAACTTTGAACGATGAGAATGTAGTTCTTATTCAAAACACTAAGTAAAATTTAAATTTAAAATTTACTCAAATGTGCTTCATTATTCAATTCATTCCTATAGGTTAAAATTTAATTTCTTCTTATACACTGATCATGAAAGCAGACCTAACTCCCTGAGGCTTAATGTGTCATGAAAAGGTGCTAAAAAAATCAACAATTCACAAGCTAGAGAAAACATGCTTATGCTGTGAGTATTTAAGCTTCTATGAAGGTCACCAAACAAACGGCCTTGTCTTTCATGAACTCTTTTGTGGGTGGCCCACATAATGTTCTGCCAGAAGGAATTTTCACTCATGTTTTATTGGAACACGAAGCAAGGCAATTAGAGGCAAAAAAAAATCATTCTGGCAGAGACATTTTATAAAACACTCCTTGTTTTGAGAAGAATAGCTATTAAAACCTGATTGTGTATAAGATAAATGGACTCTCTTTAAAACCTACCCTTTGGTAAAGCATGTGGACCTTCTGCAAGTGGGCTTAACAATATCCAATAAAAGAGCATATCGCAGCAATGACTTTGGTGGTAAAAAGTACTGATTCATGTCAATGTCATCTTCAAGAAAATTTTCTAGCATTTGCACAGAGAGATCACTATCCTGCTGGTATTTTCGGTCAATTTCTTCTGCAGTTTCAAGCTTAAAAAGAATGGCGTCTTTTCCAGAACAGTGTGTGCTGCTCTCAAAACAAGTGTTTGGTTCAATTTTTTTTACTTTAGCTTTATTTTCTGTATCTATTCTGTATTTTTGTGGATGCTCAGATTCCATTCTGGGAAATTCCACCAGTACCTGGCATGAAGTAAAAAATACATGAACTGTCAAAAGCTTTATTAGAAGTAAAATACAAATTAATAATATCCAGTAAATATTATGCAAAAACCTCTTCAGTCCTTATAGGGTTGCCATTGTGGTTTACTTATATTTGTACAATCACACAACTATCCTACCTGTTATCAAGTAACAGATGCTTTATTTTATGGAATTACTATCTGCATTTATTAACAAGAATACTTAACAAAGTTATAGGAACTATAATACAAATACAGAATCACATTCGGAAGAGGAATTTTACAAAGTAACATTAAGATTTCCAAAAAAATGTGTTTGGATCAAAGTCTGATACTTGTTAAAGAGAAAATATTGGAACATACTTATGATGCAAAAGAAAACTAGCAATCAAAAAGAGAAAAGCATTTTTCACCATGAAAGGTTATTTCTATTCATGAGTCCTGTACCAAAACTTGTTTTTGTAAAACTCTTAACCTTAAACAAAATCCTGTTTCAGAAAAGAAAAAACATTCCAGGTATTTTAATGATTACGTCTTTCTTAATATCTTTTATACATTATTTTTGGAATTGTCCATGATGGAAAGGGAGGTGTTATCTACTGTGTTACAGTGGGGTTCAAATTACACAACTGGTCCCCTATTGGTAGGACTTGGCTTTTGAGTAGTTAGTTACTAAAGACAAGTATGGAGTGCTTCCTTGAACCACTGAAACTCATAATCCACCCCATTCTTGAACAAAGTACATAAAATCAGTCACATAATTAGAGTTCTATCTATAGCAATTAAGAATTTTATTCTAGCTTATATTATTACTGTATTTTAATCAATTACAATTTAATCAATTAAATAGCATTGGCTTTAAAATGCAACCAGTGTGGTAAAATACTCCTAGGCCATTTTTAAGATTTAAAATTTTTATCAAAAGCAAACAATGGCTTTAATTCAGTAGAAAAAATGATAAATGCAAAATAGTCAATGGTCAGAAGGGAAATTATGGGGGAAATGGGAGATAATAGCATAATGGTGATTTTTTTTTTTAACTTATAGCTTTTTTTTTTTAGAAGAAAGAAATTTTGTGTGCTTTTTGGTTTTGTTTAGTTTAAACCAGTAAAAGCGGCATCAGAAGAAAAGACCTTGAAGAAGGACCTGAGGCCTGACCTATACACTAAAGACTCTGTAAGACATGTATAAACCTACACAAAGCAGTTCTTGAAAATAAGCTAGCAGAGTGAGATATATTACAAATAAAGCATAATAATAATAATAATAGCAATAATAATAACAATAACAATACCTGACCAGGAGTTTGAAAGGGTAAGGGCTCTGACTGAAGTTTTGCAATGAGGAAATACCTTAGCCTTGAATTTGGAATGCCAAGCTGCAAATAGAGTGGACAAGTTAGTTACTATATGAAATCACAAGGATTTGTGCTAACTTTAGCACCCAGTACAAAGTCTCATACATATGAACGCCTAGCTCCTGCCACAGAAAATTTCGCTGATTTTTTGATGACTTCTTTGTAGCAAACTCTAAACCTGTTAAAATGCTTCTCTGTACCTTTATTTGAGTGAAGACTGAATCTGATGAATCATGTCTGTAAGTAATTTTCATTTATATTATTCCATTTATATGTAATTAATTACATTTCCAGGTAAGAAGAAATAGAGACAGTTTTACATTTGTTACTGCTAATCCAGTAATCATAAAAAATGAATTAAAATATAGCTGTTCTTGGCTATTTATTACTTTATTAAAAAAGATTCACTATATTTTAAAAATTAAAAGGCAATATGAATGAAATACATTTAAAGAAATCAGATATATTGCCTATTTCCACAGCTTACATATCTAATTTTTAAGTGCATTTTCTTTTCATTTCTGGGCTAAGAACTATATAACATGATTAAAGATTATAAGAAACCAAAAAGAACAATGACAAAAACAGCAACGCTTGCAAAATCAAAATGTGTGAAATAACTTATCATAACCAATCACTTTTGACTTTTTTGGAAGGACATTACTAGGGTTTGAATTCACACTTGCTATTCAGGCACTCTACCTCTTAAGCCTCTCACCAGCCCTTTTTTGTGTTTTGGAGATAAGGTCTTGCAAACTGTTTGCCCAGGCTGGCCTTGAATTGTGATCCTCCTGATCTCTACTTCCTGAATAGCTAGGATTACAGGCATGAGCCACCAGCACCTGGCTACTTTGATTTCTTAACCATGAAATGAAAGCAATGGTTGCAGTTTAATGCTATGCAGTTAGAGTTACAAAAGCATCATATGTTCACTTTGTTTTCTGTTTCGAATTACTATGAAGCATCATTCAACTCCCCTAGTTTGGAAATACCAAACTTCACATAGTTTCAAAACATATTACTCTTTATTTTCCAAAAGAAAAGTATATTTAATAAGCTTCAAGCTATATATTTTTCATAAAATATGTACAAATAAATCAACATGCATATACTACATTCTTTAGGAAGTAAGACCATGTCTGAACTAATTTTAGGATTTGCATAAAATAGTATCAAAAGTAGAGCTATATTCTGTCTCTTGAATCGTATTCCCATTGGGGAAAAATTTTGTAATTTATATAAGGGTTTATAATGTGGTACCTACAGAGGTTGGTGATAATAGAAATTCTTGGTACTGAAAGCCACAATTTTCTATTGTTCTTATTAACAGATCTCTGAAAAGAAAAAAAGAAAAGCTTTCACCCTTACTTGCAAATGCTCTTAAAACTTCACTCTAAGTAAAAACTATAACTGCTCTCAAGCTGTTTAGAAAGATAATGATCCTAGGTCTTTATTAAGTCAGGTACTTGAGAAATTACATTTTAAAAAGGTAGAATTCTGTCTTACAAGTAAATACAACTACCAGATAATATACCCAAATTCATGAAAGTCTGAACTGCTAATCTACTAATGATGAATTTTCTATGGGACTGAAACTATTAGTTCACAGCAGCAAATCAAATGGGGATACTCTTACAGAGAGCAGGTATTATAGACAAAGAGAAATTGGATGGATGCCTTCTCTCTACCTGGACTACCTACCATCTAACAGAACCCCAATGTGGAGCTTCTTCTTGTACTTCAAAGGCCCTAAGTATAGGGCAGAAAACACTCATCAACATGACTGGTTCTTACTGACTAAAACTGAGAAATATCATTGCCACCTAAAGCAATATTCCAGAAAAATTTAAACATCAAAATGCCAGTTAGTAGAGCCAAACTTTGTAACACTTTGCATTATAAAACAAAATTAATACTGAATAAAACACATAGCAGATAAAAATATCAGAATGTACATGTTTATTTTTGAGATCTTTATTTCCCAACAAATTCCTACTATAAAATACACCAAGTCTAAGATACATGAAAGACAAACAGTGTTTACCTTGTAGAAGACACTTCAAAACCTTTCACATTTTCTAAAAGAATATATTTTGGTAATTTCTGTAATCTAAAAAAAAAAGTAATTATAAATATTCCATTATAAATAATTAAAAAGAAAATCTCTACTTGTGGGAAATAAGAGGTTAAATAATTTTCTGAACTCTGTTTATAAGGAAATTTTACACACTGGAGACAACTAATAATTCATTCATTTTCTCCATAAACATGGCATGCTTAACAAAGTTTACACTTGAAGTGTTAATTTCCATTGAAGCTCAGCTCAAAACATGGGCTTGCACAGGCCCTCTGCATCGCCCAACTCAAAGAGCTGCCATTCACATAGGATGACGGCTTCCAGAACTTGCAGGAGTTCCAGGCCATGGGTAATAGCATTCACTAACCCTAGCATTATTTGCATTGCTTCTATGAGCATAGATAATAGAATTTGGCTGTAGGCAGTAAACACCTGTCATTCACTGTGGTGGCAAGTGTGGAACAGTGAAACACTTGCAGTATATTATTAGTCATCAGCATAAGATGATAAGTGACATACACAGTAACTAAAGGAAGCATGTATAAATTGCTAATCTCTATAAAATAATAAACATTACATGTGTCCTGACCCCAACTTTTACATTTAAGGTACACCTGTACAAAAATCTAAGGTTTTACCTTGGGAGAACATCTAGAATATATAAGAAGCTATTTGTCCTTGGATCACTCATATCACCCTGCAGGCCAATTCTAAAGGGATAAAGAAAACAAAAAGTTTATCAAGAATTTTAGATAACGGTATGAAATCAATTTTTAAAAATCAAAACTGAGAGAATTAAAATTAGTTCACACAAAAAATATGATCATCATTGCTACTATAGTGAATGAAATGAATTTATTCATTTAAATTAAAAAGAAAAGCCTTGCATATCTAATAAATATACTGAACACTTATTTTTACAAAGCAATATGTCAAAGTAACTTACATAAAACAGAGAACAAGAAATCAATAGAAAACAAAAGCAATTACTCTTTTTAAATTGTAGGAAAAATATGCACACACATATACAATGTGCTGATGACATGTTTTGCTCTGTCCAAGTGAGGCAACAAGAACTCAGGTGAATGAGCTGGTTGAGTAGGGTAGAAACTAGGAGCTGATGGCATTAGTGATAATCAACATTTTAGCAGGTTAAATAATAAGTAATACTATGATAATCTTGTCCAATGTAAACTGACACTTAATCTGAAGGTTTTACTCTATAAGCAGGAGGTACAACTTGGATAGACTAACTGGGGTCAGGAAAGGTCATGTAAACAGGCAGTATTTGGGCTAGCAAATAAATCTTACAAAGAAAATTCACAATGTGATCAAGGTTCAAACAGAAAGGAAGACTTGGATAGGCCTAAACAGCAGGATCAGAAGACTAGGATTTGAAACATTGGTGCTTATTAGCTTCGTGTCTTAAATAAGTTACTTGACATCACATATCAGTTTTCTCATATAGGAAGCAGGGCCAAAAACACCAGAGGATCTGAAGTTTTAGAGGATTAGACTGGACTTACAGAGATTCCAAGGAAATCTGTGGTTCTTGGTATTCTATCCCTTTCCTCTCAGAGTTTTCGATGATGACAAGTACAGAATCAGTCACTGCTGCCATCACCAGCTGGAGATGGGCTATGGGGCATGCTGCAGTAATACATGACACTTTGCAGTGCTGGGCTACATTCTATTGTGCATTCTACTTACTATATAGAACAGGTCACATCCTCACATATGTGTAGAGTCACCTTCACGTGGAATGCCCTCTGTCTTCCCTCATAAACTCCTAATCTACTTCCAGACACAATTCAGACATCACCTCTGAAAGGAGTCCTCTCTCCTGGTCTGCAGCATGCCATCTTCTCCTCTATGCTCTCATGGCACTTTCAGTCTTCTTTCAGTATATAGTTTATATCACATTATAAGATAATTACTTATCAATCATTCCTATTAGAATATAAGCTCCCTAAGGACAGGAACTCTGGCATCAAAACAATGTATGGCACATGTACACACAGTAAGTCCTTAGGAAATTAGTTGCCTAGAAAGCTTTTAAAATTTAATGTGCAAATATTCATTTCACATAATATTACACTTAAACTCATATATATTAAAATAGAAAAGAATGAAATGATCAATTAATCCTGACTGACATTCTCTAATTATACAGCCATCCAAAAAGTTACTAATCTTTTTAATGTCTTAGTTTCTCACCTATAAAATAACAACAGTAATGCCTACCTCATAAGTTTATCAAATTATACTCTCTGTGTAAGACATTTAGAGGATTATTACCATATTATTACTAATTAAAAATATATATATTAAAATATATATTTAAATATATAACTGAAAAGATGAGTTACTCAAGATTTAATTTAAAATGATTCCTTGAAATAATAAACAAATACTACATAATTGTTTTAATGAACAAATGATAGCTATGAAAAATCAAATGAAATATACATTATTAATTTTAAGAAACATAATGTACAAATATATGCTGGACTAGCTTTCAAATTTTGCATTTTAAGTAATTTACAACTTGAATATTATGGAAATTTACTTTCGTTAATTGATACTAGAAAGATATTGCTGACTGTTCAATAGTTTATAAACAAATTTGTTGGACCAGAAGTAAATGTTGTATCTTAGGTAGGTACAAAAGCGTAAACTTTTATCTTCTGTTGATCAAATTATTTTTCTCTTCTGACTATAACTGTCATTTCCTTTACAATTAATGCTGAATTACAAATATGAATAAATGAAAGGAAATACTTATGAAAAAGTTCAAAACTATGAAAATGCAGCTCATGACCTTCCAAAGTAGTCTCTTTTTTTTTTTTTTCCCCTTTGTGGTACTAGGGCTCAAACTCAGGACCTCATACATGCTGTGCAAGTTATTCTATCACTAAACTACACCCAACCCAAAAGTACTCATTCTTACTAGAAAAATAAATACCTTGTGAATGGCTGACACGGAGGGCTCATTAAAATCATATTGAAAGATAAGCTGTCAAACTCTTCCAGTGTAATGCCCTAAGGAACAAATGCTAGGTGAGGAAAAATGATATAAAAACAGGAAAAGAATGAGAAAGAAAGAAAAATGGTAACTAATTATAATGAAGTCTATCAGAAACTATAACAGTTCACATAACACAATACATTTCAAATCAAGTTCCATTAAACTAACTTCCCAAAGCATTCTTGAGAGAAAGTAAGACAGTAAACTGAAGCTGTGAGAAATAAGGTGACTGCCCCTAAGGTTTGGAGCCAGCTAAGGCAGAGTTGGAACAGGAGTTTCCTCCACCTAAGCAGCTGTTGCCTCTATGTTGTCTCGAGTATAACATGGCTTTGTTTTCTAAAGTCAAATACAGATAATTTTATTTTACAATTAACAATCTTTGGTATAGGATCTAGAAAGTTTTTAAGTATCTATCAATAGTGTTTTTTATTTAGATGATGTGATATACTGCTCAATCACCATCCCTGTCATATATGTCTCTGTTAATAATCAGTAAATAGAAAAAGGCCTCATTTTAAATTATCTATAATTATTTTTGTTTTGATGTTGTGTTCAAAGAACATCAAAAGACTGTACATGAGAATAATCAAAATGATCCTTAATTTGATCCTTTTATTTATCTATACAGATATATAGATAATAGATATCCATAGATGTTCACATATATCATATACATAGGAAGATAAACAAAAAGACACACCAAACTCTCATTGAGTACTTAGTACATATCATTAGTGAGAAATTTAAAGAGATCGGCTCAGAATCCCAATTTCCATAATTATAACCCACTTCTAAGAAGTTTAAGTACATGCATAAGGAAGGAAAATGCTTACTGAGTTCTGTGAAGATTAACCTGGGAACAAGTCAGCTGGCTCCACTGTATTAAAAGTTAGTAAGGTATAAAAAGCTAGTAAGTGACATATGTATCTTGAGGCAGTGCTCATTTTTTTCTAATTTTATTAAGAAAAATTAAAAACATTCAGAAAAAGAAACTAAACGTTGTTAATGTTTCTGACATAGTTTTGCTCTTTTCAATTATGAATGTGTTAGATAACATTAATAGAATTCCTAATTCTGACTGTATTCACTAAACACAATTCACCTTGGTCATGCTATATTAATTCTTGTAATGTACTTCTGATCTATTTGCACATACCATGTTTAGAGTTACTGAGTTTATATTCATAATACAATAGTTTTTCTTATTTTGGCGATACAATAAAAAGTTATTGAGGGGATATTTCTTATCATGTCCCTTCTCATTAATTCTTAAATTGTTTTATGCATGTATACACATAACATTACACATAACATAACAATAGACATTTCTTGAGTACTGTACCAAGTACCATTATAAAGTAACTTCCATGACTGTCAAAAGTGAGATTATTTTTTTTGCCTTGAAATTCATCTTACCTAACACAATTTTGAAACTCTTTTTTCCTTTACTAGCATTTGCCTGGTGTTTTTGTTCATTTTATGGGCACAATATGCTGTTCATTAAACAATGCTCACAAACTAATCACCAATATTTCAGAGTACCTATAATATGTCAGGCATTATGCTAGGTGTAGGAATACCATCAGAGGAACAAACCAAATGAGGTTTTTATTCACATGAATAGACAGAGAGCAAGTTTTCCCACTTGCTATCTAGATAACTTACTGATTTGGTTTTACCACTAGTTCTCTTTTTGACTGAGGAGTTCTGCCTCCAGTTAAAACCCGTGTATGATTGTTCAGGACAACATTAGGCAATTACAAAGGTTTCCCTGGCAGGCTTCTAGGAGAAAGCTGCCCGCTACAGAGCAGTCCTGTTGCACAGCAAGGGTTGTATTGCAGTCTCGGAAAGGAGTTGCAGTCAGGGAGGGTCTTAGGCTTCCCTGGACAGTCATGCTCTTGGAAACTGCCTTCCTAGTCCCAGAGCTCTCATTCCTAGGTCTGTCCACCTACCAAGGCCTCCTAACAGGAAGAGGAGGAGGAAATCTTGAAGACAATTTCCCACTCTAACTCAGTGCCCACATCTTTCTATTCCTCACACCCTCACCTCTCATCTTGCTGTCAATGCCAGGGGCTCCTGAGGCATTTAGATGGTCCAACATTTATACTGATCCACAGGAAGACAAGGAACAGGGGAAGTCAGTGTTTTCTCTGATTTTAGAGTCTTACTAATACATCACAGTAAGTGAGTAAAAGCTTAACTTTCATTTTTGGGCTGTTACTTTAATCAGCTTCTCTGACCCCTCCCATTTCAGCTCTTTCCTGGCTCTGCTGAGTTCCTGACAATAATATCAATGTCCTGCAAAACGGACAGCTCATTCATTTGCTATAAACATATTTTTGAGTGCTGCTTCCCCTTCTCACTCCAATTACAGACATTACTATTTCAATACTCAAAGCTTTGTAACATTTTTGCCCTTTTTCCAACCATAATTTCTTTCTAATATGGCAGCTTTGTGCTCTGGTTCTCTGCAGTCATTCATCTCTTGCTTAGCTAAATTAAGTGACTGGGTCTCATTTCTGGGAGGGCTCATAAGTGCTGTAGTTCATGAGCTGTGGCATGTCTTATTTTTAAAAATTTTTCATCTACTTCTGTTAATGTTTTTGTTTCATTTGATGTACTCTTTTTTCAGAAGCACCAATTCTAGTTACCATGGATCATTTTTGTCTCCAGTAACTGTCACTAACTCTGCAACACTGTGAGCCTTATGCTCTTCCATTTTATTTTGCTAGAGTTCATTCTTCATGAGACTCTGCAGCATGGTCTATTTTGCTTTTTGCTGCTCTGACAAGATCTTCATTTCTATAGTGGTATCATTTTGCTCCTACTTTTATTTTCCAGACCCCTGATACTTTTCAAGCGGTATTATTGCTCTTTGAGCTGTTGTATATATTTATTAGATATCTTATTTGAAGATACCATGTTTTATTTAGTGTTTGAAGATCTTAGAGACTTGACTGAAATTTTCTTCTGCTTCTTAGCATCATTATTCTGTTGCATGTCCTGCTTTTTGTTCAGATTTCTTATCTCTTTAAAAAGATACTAAAGATCCTGCCATCTGAGCATATATATCTGAAGGAATATAAGTCTGTATACCCATGTTTATAGCAGCAGTATTCATAATTAGCAAAGTATTTCATCAACTGATGAATGGATGAAGAAAATGTGGTATATAAACATAATAAAGTTTTGTTCAGTCATAAAGAAGAATGAAATTATGTCATTTGCAGGAAAATGAATGGAGCTGGAACTTACCATATTAAGTGAAATAAGTCAGACTGAAAAGGACAAATATTACATGTTTTCTCTCAAATGCAGATTCTAGGCCTAAAAAAACTTTTTTAAATGACAAGAATGTAAAATAAAGGGGCTATTTTGGGGTGGGAATTAACAAGAAGAGGAAGGGTGAAAGGAGAGGATAAAGTGGGGCAGGTGAATATGACTGAAATACTTCACATGTGTGTATGAAAATAAAATAATGAAACCTGTTAAAAATTCTTTAAAAAGTAGAGGTAAGAGGACAAGAAAGAGTGGGTAAATTTAATTAAAGTACGTTATATGTATGTATGGAAATATCTCAAAATCCCTTTGTACAATTAATATACACCAATAAAAAGAGAGAGAGAAGTATAGCCTCAAACTGGTTCCTTTCTAACTATTATTCATTTTTTAATGGAGGTTACTTGAATGTAGGGGTTTGCTAGAAGATGAAGTGAAGCAGTGGCACCTTCCATCCAGATACTTTGTTACCTTGCTGTTGTTGGTAAAAACCTTCTAGGTCCCTTAACCTAAGAGCATGCCTCTGCTCCTGATCTAGGTTCTCACCTTCACAGTGAGCAAGAAATCTATAAAAGCTGCAAAGAAACTTTCAGCCTAGTGGTTAAGTTTTTAAATGTCTCCTCTCACAACTTTTAATAGCCACTGACCAACAATTACTGGTATATTCTTCTCTTCTCCATTGCCATTCTCTCCTTCTTGGTTTTGTACAAGATATATAGAGGTTGCATGCAAATTTGTCACCCTTCTTCAATTTTGTCCTGTTTACACTACATTTGAGATCATTCCTCACAGATTTCTTTTTTGCTTGGGGTTATGGCTAAATCCTATCCTCATTAATTAGGGAGTTCTATACTCTGTTTCCCCTTCTTATTCTTATTAGGAAAAGGAATAGCATTTTGGAATAGAAGTGTCTTTATTGCTATACTCAATCCTCAATTGGAAGTTCCAAAGAAAACTGTTAATTAGTCTACCTTCTGCGCTAAATAGCCTTGTTTTCTTCAAAGCAAAGGCTGTAACTTATTCACACTTGCATTCCCTTTAATGGCTCAGTAACTTGCACAAAGAAAATGTTCAGTGATCCTTATGTTACTGCATCAATCTTAAAGTCCCCAAACCTCCCATTACTCTTAAATTTTCCATCCTGTCCCCTTCTGTCACCCTAGAGTACTTCTTAAGTATTTGACCTAGACATGATACACCATCCTCTTCAAATTTTTCATCACAAAGAATAGGGGTGAGGGGAATATTAAGGGATAGATTAAAAGACATAGGAGTGATAACATAGAATGAACCTGGAAGACATTGTGCTACGTGAAATAAGTAAGGTACAGAATTATAAATACTGCATAACCTCACTTATATGTGGCATCTAAAAATCAGAAGCAAAGAGTAAAGTGATGGTTCCCAGAGGTTGGGTCTGGAGGTGGATGGATGGAAAAATAGTGGTCAAAGAATACAAAAGTCTCATTACACTGCAGGAATAAGTTTGGGAAATCTATTATACAGCATAGCAACTATAGTAAATAACAACATATTATATACTTGAAATTGCTAAATGGTCTCACAACAAAAACTATTAAGAATGTGAGGTAAAGGATAGGCCAATTAGCTTGATTTAACCATCTCACAATATATACGTATATGAAAGCATAAGAAAATCACATTGTACACTATAACACTATAAATACTATTCTTATTTGTTGACTATACCTTAAAGAAATAAAAGTATATAGTCTTTTTTTTCTTTAAAATACCACTTAATGAACTGATTTTCCTTTCAAGTGAGCTGGAGGTTCCACCTCCTCCATTCTTCCTTCTTCCTAGTATTCTTATGTAATTTGCAGATAGATATTATGATTAGTTATATGTTAAAAATTCCACTGAAACCTAATTACCATGAGGAAAGAATGGATTCAGATGCATCATTATAAATTCCTCAAATTCCTACTAGTCTCAAAGTTCTACTAGTTAGGGATCCCAATCAGTCCCCAACTACATTCAGTTTCTCTTAGAGGGTATAACATAAAAGATTAAATTGCTGAAAGTAAACATTCAATGGGTACTTTACTGAAAATTTATTGTATTGTGTTTGGTGGGGAAAATCTGTAGCTGACATGTGCGTTTGCTTGCATTTATTTAAAAATATTTGAATATTGAATTTAGATTTAAGACTTTTAAGTAAAATAACCATTTGGAACCTAACAGAAATCTGTGTTAGAGTCATTTCAAAATTACATATTAGTGGTGTCTTTCTCCTGACCATGTATATGCTTCTGTTTCACAGGATGAGAATGAAAGACTGATTCCAGCTTGCCCAATGTTTATGACATGACTATTATTAGTCATTATCAAGATGATGTAGACTCCCTATTACTTCTCTCTATGATATTCATGGAAAAAAATTCCTTAATACATAAATTCTGTCTTTTGAATACTGAGTCATACAGCTTGGAAATGTTCCCATTTTATATTGTTTAAATAAAAAATTTTAAACAAAATTTTGAAAAAATAAATGTGGTATGCCCATACAATGAAATATTATGCATCCATTAAAAAGAAATACTGGTTCATTTCAATGTGAACAAACCTATTCTAAGAATGAAGAGAGGATAAAGGAGAATGTTGGAGGGAGTGAATTTAATTAAGATATATGGTAAGCACTTTTCTAAATATCACAATGTACCCCCAGTATAACAATACTATAATAAAATAAAAAATGAAAACGAAAAACAGGCTAAGTGAAAGAAGCTAGAAAAAGAAATATCATATGAGTCCATTTGTGTCAAATATTCAGAATAGTCAAATCCATAAACATCGAAAGTAAATTACTGGCTGCCAGGGACTGGTGGGGAGGGGACAGGTAGAAATAGAAGGTGATTGCTAATGGGTACATGAGTGTTAAAAACGTCTGGGAACTAGAAAGTGGTGATGGTTGCAGAACTTTTAAAATATACTATAAACTGCTGAATTGCATATTTTTAAATGGTGGAATTTAAGGTATGTGAAGTATATATTACTATAAAAAACTGTAAGACCTTTACTTCTGCCCAGAATGGAGTAAATTCTAAGGAACCTACCCTCCTATAAGAAGGAAACAAAAGAAAAACCACAGAAAAGTGGATTAAATGTAAGTAATAGGTATGTTATTTCTAGATATTAGACTAAATCCAATGTGCACTACTATGTCTCGGTAAAGAATAAAAAAGTTGGATCTTATGATTGCTGCAGCTTTCTGCCTAGCAACAATCTGCAGACAGCTGTGAAGGGGGGTGATCCCCAAGTAGAACCTGGTAATTGAGGTAAGCTGAAAAGAGACTCGGGAGGTCAAGGTGACTACAATAATGGTAGAGTACCAGAGAGAAGGAAGCCACACTCTGGCTGCAGAGCTGTCCCTTTGAGTCCTTGTTTGTTATCAATCTGTGCATACAATAGTTAAAATGCCATAAGGTACAGCAAAGAAAACTACAATTATGGAGAAGCTGTAAGCCTGATTCCCAGATTTCACACAAGGCTAGGAATTACTTATCATGAAGTAGAGTTAAGTATGTGGGAAAAATTCAACAGAGAACTTGCACTGCCTGAATTCAATATATATTAGAAACCTACCACAACCAAAATAGTGTGTTAGTGGAGTAAAGTAAGAATAAACCCAGAGATACTACTGAAGAAGAGTCCAGAAATAGGACTCACACACATATGATCTGTTTTTTAAAATATAGGTGTCAAGGAAATTGATTGGAGAAGCACACACTTTTTCAGCAAATGGCCAACTTTAGATCTCCTTGAAAAAAACTAAATAAGCCTTCATGAATACCTCACACTGTACACAAAAAGTAACCTTGAATGGTTCACAGAAGTGACTGTAAAAACCAAAACATAAAACTGCTATAAGAAAACAGGAGAAAATAAGACATGCAAGGATTTTTTAGGTTACACACAAAAAAGATCCTACACAACAACAACAAAAAAATAACATTATTTCTGCACTTTGATGGAAATAGTCAAGGAATTAAAGACAAATGACTGAGAAATAACTTTAATCAGAAAACAACTCATAATCAAATAATAGCAACACCCAAATCATAAAATTTGAGCAAGAAATTTGTTTTCTTTAGAACTTGGGTCCTCATGTATGCTAGGCAAGCTCTCCACTAAGCTACCTCCCCAGTCCAAGAATTTTCTTGAGGAAGAGTTATATAAATAGTCAATGAGTACATGAAAAGGTATTCAACATTATTGGTCAGAAGGGAAATCACAACATCCTCACTTATTCACTAGAATAGCTAAAATTTAAAAGACTAGCAATAGCAAATGCTGGCAAGGAAGTGAAACTTCTCCTTGCAACACTGATAGTGGGAATATAAAAGGTTTTGGACAGCTTGTGATATTTTGTCATACATTTAAAGCAAATGACCACATAATCCAGCAATTCTATTCCTAGGTATTTAACCACAAGAAGTGTGTGTGTGTGTGTGTGTGTGTGTGTGTGTGTGTGTGTGTACAGGGGGGAAGCTTACACAAAGACTTGTACATGACTCTGTATAGCAGCTTTATTTGTGATAGCCAAAACCAGGAAACAATGTCATGTGGATAGATGCACATACTGCGGTATATAATATCCCACTATAAGAGTATTTCTCCACAGTGAAGGAACAGAGCAATCCACTGACATACACAACCACATGGATGAATTACAAAATGATCAACAATAAGAAAAGCAGTTACATTCATAAGTTACCACTGTATGCTTTTGTTCATGATATACTAGAGATGGGGGAATTTAAAGTATAATGAAAGAAACGAGATCAGTGTTTGCCTTGCATGGGGGTTGTAGACTGAATGAAATGGGACACTAAGACATGATTTAGCATGAGGGAGATGCCCTAAGTCTTGACTGTCATACAATCAAGTTGACAGTTGATATAGTTGATATACTAGTTAACATTCAACTGCACATTTAAAATAGATGCAATTTATTGTACATAATTTATGGCTTTATAAGAATTTTGTGTGTAAAGTTTTTCATGACAAGAAATTAGGAGAAAAAAACGCATTATTTTTTAAATAATTCAGTGTGTATCTGAGTTCGTGACAGGTGAAATAGGTTAACTTTGAAAGCTTGCTAAAATAGGAAGCATTCAAAAAGAGAATGTCTTACTGTTACAATATGCCAGATACATTGCATGACTATAGATTGAAAGTGAAGAATTAAATTTTAATTGCGCCACAGAACCAAGCATTTGGAAGTCAGGATATTCTTAACATTTCACTCCTTTCTCTCAGAGACCAAAACATTGAACTCTCTTTCTCTATAACTGAAACTTTCTTTAGTATCATGCTATCTTCCAATAGAATATAAAACATTAACTCCCTTCTAGACTTTTTTCCTCCTAAGCTTAAAATCAGTATCACTCATCTTCCAATTAAGACCCCAGAAACCAGTATTTAATGATATTTTTCAGTCATGTTTTCCTTGCTACACATATGTTAAAATAATGGCAATAATTACTCACTTCAATTGTCTTTGCCAGTAACTGTGTGTGAGGAAAATTATACTTGTATACCTCATTAGCGACAGTGTTCACATCAATGGCAGCCACCACCTGTGCAGGTATACAGCTTTCTGTAATGATAAATGAAATATCTTTAAAAGAAAAGTCCCTTATATCAGTTGATTCATCAAAGATAAAAGTCAAATAGCAGAATTTAGTAGTACTTTTCCCTACTTCCTCAATTATCTAGCCAGATTTTAAATTACTGATGGGAGACCAGGCAAGGAGAAATCAGGCATGAAGTAGAATATTTGGCCATATACTTCTGGTTCATCTAACAGCATTCCAAAATAAGATTTAAATTTTAGTCACTGCCTCATAAGTTTGTTTTCCTCTCTCAAAAAGATATATGCTTATGAATCGAATAGAAAATTTTCCTAAGTTAAAACAAATGGAAAATAGGAAAGTATAGCATATTCTAAAAGCCATGTATGAAACTCTATATAAATAAATTACCATGTGTTCTTCACCTTCTCACATTGAGACAAACTGATTCACAATACCACCAAAAATGTTATGTGTACTTTTTTTTTTTTGTAGTAAATAAGAGCTTTACTGAGATGTAATTCACATTCACCAAAATTCATCTGTTTGAAGCACAGGTTAAGATTTTAAATGAAATAAACAATTCATTGGTATTCAAATGCAAAAGGTTCACAGATCAGAAACTTTAAAATGCTAGCAGTATAGATGAGAACATGAAAAAAATAAAGGAAGAAATTATAAAGGCATGCTTTCATTCCCCACCTGTCTTACTGCTAAAGAAAAGTATTTTTCAAAATGGTTTCAGATTCAGAGAATTTTAACATATTCTTTGATGGCAGTCATAATTTGAACTCTGTAATTGCAGCTGCTATTATATTTTGCAATCACCACCCTCTTTCCCAAAACATGTATAAACCAGTTATGTATACAACTTGTTCGAAGTCAGGAGAAAATAGGAAAAGTTTTTAAAATAAAAGTATTTGAGACTTAAAAAAATCACCAAAAAAAACAGTATTACACAGTTAAATTGAAATAGCCATTTCTTTTAAAACCCTTTGCTGATTAATGGCTAGCTTAGTTTAGCCAAACATTTAAAAGCAGTGAAAGGATTAGGATGTAAAGAACTAGAACTCATGCAAGCAAGCACCTGGAAATAAATCCAGATCACAGGAGAAAGGATTGTCACACTCAGAAAACAATCACAACCTTACAGTGAACTCTAGAAGACATGAGACCAGAGAGAAAACAAGGTCATGAATGTCTCCATGCATTCACTGTGTGCTACTAGGCTCCAGTCATTCAGCTATCCCCCAGGTATACTGCTAGAAGGTAAGGTCCCAGGTGCCTTACATATGGGACATTGCAAACTTTGGGTCTAGTTAGAAATGCTATATGTAGCTGCCTACAATTAAATTTAAGTTCAATAGCTAGTTACTTGCCTTAGTATAAATTTAAGGTTATAAATTATATCTTTGTCAAAAGCATCAGAAAGTTCTTGCAACATAAAATAAGAAGACTTCTAAACGAAGACAATTAGTATACAGAATCACAAAGCTTATGATTCAGGTCAAGAACAATACTACTAATTACTGTAAGAGAGCTCAGAATTAAATAAACTCCACTGTTTTATGTTAATTGTTTTGCTACATAAGATATGCTGCAATCAGCATGACATAGTCTGCTTGTGTTTCCTCTACATATGCCGCAAACAGGCATTGCCTGGAGTTGGTTAACATGACTTTCATCACTTTTTCAGGCTGACTGAAAATCTAGCGTGATGTGCTGAATCTATACCATAATCAATAATTAATTTTATGTTTGTGTATTTTGTGCCTAGAGGTCATAAACCTGACAAAAAGCAACTGTCAAATGAGTATTTCTAGTGGAGATCTGAAAACTGATGAACTGAAAATTCTTTCTCAGGGAAGAATGGATTTTTAAAATCAATAAACAAATGCACTGTTTTCATGAACTGATGCACAGATTTTAGACTGTTATGAAATTAGAACCTACTGCACGACCTAAAAAGTTATTTCCACAAAATAAAAGGATATAAAAGTTGAATATCCCACATCCAAAATGCTTGGGACCAGAAGTGTTTTGGATTTCTGAATATTTGCATACACATAACAGATAGCTTTGTGACAGGACCAAAGTCTAAACACAAATTCATTTGTTTCATATGTATTTTGTACACATAGCTTGAATGTCACTTTTTACAAGACTTTTAGTAGACCTGCATTTTTACTGCAACCAAACACATGAAGGAGGGTAGGTACAGACTCTTCCACTTGTGGTGTCTGCTAATGATTCAAAAGTTTTGGATTTTGGAGCATTTTGGATTTTTGGATTAGGAATACTCATCCTATACTGAGACATTACTGACACCCTCAGTAATGTCTTTAAAAGCAGAGTTGTTTGTAGGTATGGGTGTGTCTCTAAGAAAAAAAGTTAATCTTATAAATAACAGTGGAAAAAGCAAGATTGTTATTTCTGTCAAAAATCTTAAAGTGATCAAAAGATAAACATATACATCAAAACGAGCATGGTCAGATACAAACTCATATGTAGAACATGTTTATAACAGTGAAACTACTCTTTGAAACTCAGGAAGGAGGGAAAGGAAAAGAGAATGATAGAGCATCAATAATATCACAAAACATAACATCTGTAAAGGTAGAGAAAATAAGGATGTATATTGAAAGCCACTGAAAAATGGGGCTGGGGGTAAAGGGATAAGGGAGAATATATACCTATATGAAAAGAACAAAGACATCTCTTGCAATTGCTTTTAATGGGGCAGGAAGGGGTTGAGTGGGAGAGATGATGGGGGGGACATAACTAAGGTACAGTTTAAATCTAATCAGAATTGTGACTGAATCCTCCCCGTATAATGAATATATCCTAATAAAAAATTTATAAAATAAAAAAAATCTTAAAGTGATCTCCAAAGACAAGTTGGTATTTCCTACTACAGTTTAAGTCCATTTTCAAAAACCTGTAAGTGGAATACACAGATTTTGAAAGTATGTATCTAGAAGGGAAAAGTGGATATAATCCTATAGAATTTTACCTATGTGAGCTCTCTCACTTAAGTGAACCATGAGTAGTAATTCTCAAAAGAGAGAATTAGGGAAAGAGATCCATTAGGACCTTTTGGTAGTAGTAGGGGAAGAGGATGTGCTTTCAGTACTTTGACCTATTAGTTTGCCTGATTTTGTTCATGATGTTTCAGTTACTGGGCTTCGTATTTATCAATAGGAAGCATAGGTTAAACAGAAGGTGAGACATTCTAGTTACAGAAACACAATACACATTGTATTAAAAGGCTGCTAAATTAGATTTACAAGAAAAGGATAAAATAACCTGTTCCCAATATTGAGGATGAATGTTAAAATGCAAATTTTGCATTTGAATAACAATAATTTTCCTCCTTTTGCTGACTACCATTTCTGGGAAAACTGTAAGGAAGATCTTCTGGTTGGAAGTAGTAAAAGGCACAGATGTATACCCCACCTGACCTTCCAAAACAAATAAATTAAAAATTCAATTGTTTATGTGTAATTATTAAAGTGGGAGAAAAGTCAGTATTTAAAAAATGTAAATATAGAATTAATCATCCTATTTTGAAAAAAGTTTTTTTTGGTAGCACTGGGATTTGAACTCAGGGACTCAAGTTTGTTAGGCAAGCGCTCTACCACTTCAGCCATTCCACCAGCTCTAAAACAAGTTGGTTTTAAAAATTCTTTCCGGTCTTTTTCATTTATTTTCTGATCTGTATCTCCATATAAGCTAAGTATTTGAATTACCTCATTATAATTATACCTGAGACATTTAATCAAGTATGTTAATACTGACATCTAGTGAAGGAGAGCTCAGTTTAGTACATCCAGTGTCTACTTCCTTTCATTCCAAGTGACAGCTTAACGATTTCAAGTTTAAAATCCATGTCAAAGGGTTGGGGGTGTGGCTTAAGTGGTAAAGCATGGTTTACCTAGCAAGTAGGAGGCCCTGTGTTCAATCCAAAATGAATGAATAAATACATAAATATAAAATTAATGCTAAATATTTTTATTGGTATTAGCAAAGTATATTTCTTGGCTCTTAAGGATTTTTTGCATTTCAAAAATCACTAATAAATTATCTCTATGAATAAAAAAATAAGTTTAAACTTTTTTCCAAACACCATTCAATCTTCTTAGACAGTCTCCTTAGAAGTTGAGTTAAAAAGTTTTACTTCAGGTCAAGACATACTTTACATTACTTCTACTGGCACCTGACTATAAACACTAGAGAACACAGGGCAGAATGTGGCTAGAAAGTGCTTGGCACTAGTTAGGAAAACTGAAGCACTGTTTTTCAACAAGATACCAAAAGACAGAACAGAGCTGGAGAAGTAACACAGAAGAGAAAGATGTCAAATTAACATTTTTTGTTTTTTTTTTTTTTTTAAAAAGGAGCACAGTGACAGTATTTACATAGCATGGAAAGTAAAGACACATATCAGGTAAAATAGTGCAATATAGAGGCAATGGCTTTTGAGGAAGACCTTGAGAAAGGAAATCAAGACTCAAGAAATATTTCTCGTGTCTAAGAAAGTCCATTTAAAATTGTTTGTGTGATGAGGTAGCTAGTACAGCCTCCCCCTCCCCACCCCAAACACACACACACTTTTGGCAGAGGCCACAGAATGCTGCACAGCACTGCCATTACCCTCAGGCCTGGGGAGGTAGGGAAGCTCAACATCCAGGGGCATATACTGGTTCCTAGAAAGATCTGTTTCTACATATAGGTAGTTGAAATTACAGCTAACCTGAAACTCTACCATAGCTCCATGCAATACGACTTCCTGTGATGACAGCGATGTTCTGCCCAACATGGTTGCTACCCACATTGAGTATTGAACACTCAATATGTGACTAGTGCAACTGAGAAATTAAATTTCTAATCTTTCATTTTAATTAATCTACATTTAAATAGCTACATGTGGTTAGCAGCTACCATACCAGGCAGCACAGTTCTGTAATCAACAGAAGTCCGGAACAGAAGGCAGCACTAGAGGGGAAAGCAAAGAATTACAGAAATTCATGTTCAAATTCTGGAACTGACACTCATTAGTTATGCAGCCTTGAAAAATTTACTATCCTAAGCCTCAACTTCTTCATCAATGAAACACATAAAAACAGTTCCCATAAAGGGCTGCTATAAAAAGTAAATAAAGTCTATAAAATACCTAGCAACAGGAGATGCTCAGTAATTATTAAAAGTCCTATTCAGTGCCTGGCATTTATCTGAAGTATTATAAATTTAATAGACATTATAATGATTATTATTTTCAATTCTGTTATTATTAACACTAGGAAATTAGACCAATGAGAAATTTTAAAAGTTGTAACAATTCATCTGAGAGGCAATTTCAGAAGAAATATTTTAAAAAGATTTTGCGTAGCATAAGAAGGAATCTTCACAAATAACAATAACCAGATGGCTTTAACTGTTATTAGAAAAATAAAATTAAGTGAAAACTAACTAAAATATAATCCCAGAAGGAGCACCAATGAAGGGAAAAACATTCCTGATCTTGTTAACAGCCCTTGGAATGATGAGAGAGAAAAGGGAGGTGTGGGACAGAATCTTTTCCTTCCAGGATAGTTATCACTTGTTTTGTCTAATATGGAGAAAGAAGATAGTTCAAAAAAGAAACTTTCTAAAGATAGCCTCTGTCCCAAATTCTCTAATACTTTATGAACATTTAGGGGAAAAGGCAGGTCCTCAGATCATCTTTCACTATTGGCTGTTCTTTGATACAGACCTTTGTCCCTTGTCCCTAATGCACTAGTTAGAAGCGAGAGTACTGATATAAGAGAAATGCTCCTTTATGGTCAAATAGCAGATACATAATTACATTATGACAAATAATGGTTTGTTTCCATATTTTGTGACAAGGCACATAACTAATTTTTAGTTATCAAAATGTAGGAACACTGAATAAATGCTTATTTTTTCCCTCTAATTTTAATTTAATCTATCAGGAGAGAAACTGACATTTTCCAAAAACAAAGCTGAACCATCAGTGAAATACTGCCATGCCTTTTTGGATGGTATTGATCTCATTTCAAACTACCTAAGCAGTATCATCTATATGCCAAACTCAACTTAGGAAAACTGAGTATTTTAAAAACCAGTATGGAAGGTGGATGCCAAACATCATCTTCCTATTACAGAATTCAAAGAACTTCTAAATTCCCCCTCCTGAGGACTCAGAAGTAAATTTTATTTCATTCCTATATTAATTACTCAAAAATATGATATCTAGTTCACACCAGCTCTGCAAAAATTATGTGTATATCCCAATATTAAGTTCTCCCTTCTCTTCAGAAACTGTGCTAGCTTTTCATTGCTGTAACAAATATCAAGAGAAACAGTTTAAACGAGAAAAGATTTGGTTTTTGCCCAGTGTCATATAGCTAGGAAATGACAATGTAGAGATTTCAACCAACGACTTCTAACTACAGAACTGTGTTCTTAAACTAGGAGACTAAACTACCTCTCCCACAAGCCATTTTCCATAACTGTCTACTGTTATTTGTACTGTTTTGTACTATTTCATAGTACAAAATAACATAATGAGTTAAGATCAAGTTACCACAAAAATTATTGGACACTACCAAATGACTGTCAGAGATGGTTTAAGTATCAAATACTAAAATAGAAAAACCATAACACTTCAAGGATTTCCAAAAACAATTAGCAAAGATAAGGCAAAATGTGTACATTGGCGGGGGGGGGGGGGGAGTGTGGAGAAATTCCCACTATATAAATGAAACATTTCTATTCATTCTAAACTTCTCTCTTATCCCATCTTTACTTCCTCTGCAGTGGAAGGAGTGACTTCTCTAATAGGCTAACTTGGGAAGAATAAACTGGGCATACCTATCTCAGTTTTACCCATTCTCCTCTTGGGAATAGACTACCCATAGGGAACATGGGTTTTGCCTGGCTCCTCCAGCTGATGCTTAGTTCTCTGGTTCAATATTAACTAATCTATTCGGCCCTCTCAGTAAGGTACATCCTCTAACTGAGCCCTTATAAAAATGACACAGATAGCTCAATGGTAGAGCATTTGCCAAGCATGCACAAAGTCCTGGTTCGATCCCCAGCACTGCAAAATAAGTCAAGAGTGGAAGATTGAGAGTTGGAGTCTAGCTTATCTAGAGAGAGAAAGAGAAAGAGAGATTTATATGTTCTTAATTTGTTCAGAATTGGGAAGACAGCTACTCTTTATTGAGACCTCTAAAACACTCAATACTAGATAGGCCCTAAAACAAATTAATTTGTCATCTATTCATTAGCACTGAGAAAGTAATTTGATCTGTGGAAGAGAAATGATAAATATTTTAAATTGGACGAGTTTTTATTTTGCTTCACTTTAAATCTGAATAACAGAGTAATTATAGGAAAATTGGCACAATAGAAAAATTTTACAATCATAAAGACAAATATTTACAAACATGAAATCAAGCAGTTCAAATTCCAGGCCCTTATAAGTGATATTCCAAAAATATCATTAGGTGACATTCAAATCTATGTGGCAAAACACTTCTTGATAATGTATTTGCCTGATTCACTTATAAACACACCTAATCACAAAGTGGTTCAAAGAGTCTCAGGTTGACACACAGGTCATTGAGGAATAAAGGTAAAAGTCATTCAGAAAATGACTTTTATCAATTTTTAACAATTAATGAGTATACCAAATGAAAGGCTTAACATTTTAACAGGAAGTATAAAAGCTAAAGAAGTTTTACTAAATATAGTTAAGTAGTATGTTGATCAAACTCAAAATCAGTACCACAGAAAACTGTTAGAAATTATTTGATAGGACTAACCTTTTGCTTTTAAGGATGTCTCCAATATTTAACTATACAGACAATAGTCATCAGTTAGAGCTTTCCTTTTCTCTCCATCTTAAGCCACATCTTAATCTTCTCCTGCTATTACATTTCAAAGTAAGAAAAACAGAATCTTACTTGTTCTTGCAGGTGTCCCTGGAGGCTTCACTGACATATAATCCATGACAACTCTTCTTCCGTTGCTTTTGGTAAGGACATATTTTCATTCGGATGATCTAACTACCCAAAACTTTATAGACTGTACAGACATAAATATAGTCTAAGTATCTAAGCATTCCATCCTTCCCCATCTCCACGTTCTTGGGCAGGGATAACACTAAGAATACAGTGGTCACTTATGCGTGTGGCCGTCTGGAATCTCTGTGTATGTTTGAATATTCTTTTGTCTTTGAATTTTTTGCCACATTATACATCCTTCCTTCCCAAACAAGTCCAACTCACTTTTCCAGCTGTCTTTATCTGGTATTGGGATCTATGCTCACTAACCAACTGAATGGTTAGTTCAAGACTTCAAAAATGGCAAAGTGAAGAAGCAAGCAAGAAAAGCCGTATTTCTGATGAGGGAAGTGGTAGAAGCAGCCACCATTCAGGGCAAAACTGTGGTGGCACTATGGCATCCCCAGCACTATTGGTGACATCAGTATAGAGCTTTACTGGGACAACCTCCAGAATGTGGTTTGGGCTAACCTCGTGTTGGGTGTCCTGTAAGTATGTGAACTTTCAGGTATCTTTTAATTCTTTTTCTGCTGCTTATGTTAACTAGGGAATAGATTCTGTGGTTTGAAACTAAGAATTGTGTATGATGCAAAAAAAAAAAAAAAAAAAAAAAAAAAGAACTTGGGCTAAAGCTAACTGTGGTTTTATCAAAATGATGGTAAAATAATTATCCATTCGATAACAAATTCATCATCTAAGGAAAACCTGTCACAAGTATGGTACTGTGTTAGAGACTATACAGGAAAAAAAGTAGAATAGCACAAGATGTGGACTACATAAATACAGGTAATACAGATATAAAATGAAATTTAGAAAATATATAAGCATCATATAGTTATTGAGCACAATGTATATATTTATAAGGATGAAAACTTTTATTGAGTTATTAAAATACTTATTTAGTTTGCGGCAAATCTAACTCATTGCTAAAGAAATTAAGTATACTTTTCATTAACTATTCAAATTTAGTAATGTGATAAAATATTTGCCAATCATTATATCTGATAAAAGATTAATATCTAGACTATATAAAGAACTTCAATAACACAATTTAAACAAAAATTCTGAAATGGGTCAAGCACTTTCATAGACATTTCTCATAATAATATACAAATGAACCATAAATATATGAAAAAGTGCTCAACACCTTTAGTTATTAAAGAAATGCAAGTTAAAATTAAATGGGATACCAATGCATACACATTAGGATAGCTATTATCAAAAAATAGTGGCGAACTTGGAGGTGGAGAAAGTGGAACCATCATGCATTGCTGACAGGAACATAAAAGTTTGCAGCTGCTGAGGAAAAGTTTAGTGGCTCCTCAAAGAGTTAAATTGAATTATATGATCCAGTAATTCCATTCTAAGGTATATGCCCAAAAAAGTTATAAGTAAGGACTCACACAGAGTCAGGTCAGCATTATTCACCACAGCCAATATGTTGAAAGAACCCAAGTGTCTACCAACAGATGAGTGGATGAATAAAACTGTACATACTTACAATGAAATATCATCCAATGATAAAAAGGAATGAAGTACTAATACATGCTACAACATGGATGAACCTTGAAAACATTATAGTAAGTGAAATAAGCTAGACATAAAAGGATATATATTGCATGATTCTTTATGAGGTGGATAAGTTCATAGAAACAAAGTAGAATAGAGGGTATCAGGGATTAGAAGAAGGGGAGATGGGGAGTTTAAGGGTTACAAAGCCTCTGTTTGAGATGATGAAAAGGTCTTGGAAACCAACACTGGTGATGGTTGCACAGTACTGTGAATGCACTTAATGCCACTGCACTGTACACTTAAAGATAATTAAAATGGTAAATGTTACATTTCAGATAGATAAATGATAGAAAGATAGACAGATGATGAGATAGACAGACAGATAAACAGATAAAGTAGACACCCTGGAGGCATGGCTCAGCAGTAGAGCCATTTGCCTAGCAAGTTTGAAACCCTGAGTTCAAAGCCCTGTACTTTCAAAAAAAATGGAATTAGTATATATACCTATATGTATATTTAAAAAAACACAAAAATTCAATTATAAACATTATCTAGAAGTCAGCCAAAATTGACATTCAATGTTATTACTGTTGAGCTTTTACTTACTATTATTCAGTTGTAAATGCAAGTAACTTAGTGGATCAGACCAGAACACTAGCAACATAGCACAGTGAAAAAGCATGACAGACCGAGGTTAGATTAGTAATTCCATCACTAACTAGCTTATTTATCACACACTTAGAAGAGGTTCTGATATTTACAAGGTCCTTAATAAAAGTCAAAATTGCTGCTTTATATTAGCTTTTATTATTGCATAAGCCATATGGAAAGGAACAATGCACCTTACTACAGATAAATCTAAAACTTTGGTACATCAAGTGTGGGGAACTATTTGCATCAATATGATTGACAGTCAACATCCCTCATACACACACCTTACACAAAAAGGTGGGAGAGCAGAGACAGGGAAGGAAGGAAAGCTACCTTGGGTGAAAATCACAGGGGGGACCTCTCTGAAGAGACAACATATTAAAGATATGAAAGGTGAAAAGAAGCCGGAGTGGAAAAGTTGGAGTGAAGCACTATGGATAGAGACAATAGCAAAAGAAAAGGCCAGGATACTGAGGCACCTTGGAGGGTTTGAGGAACAGAAAGTAAGACCAGTGCACATGGGTAAGAGAACCAGGAAGAGTGACAGGTAAGACTGGAGAGGCAGGCAGAAGCTAAATCTTACAGGCCAAGTGAGAAGATTGGGGCAATGATTCTAACTTCAGTAAGAAGCCATTTAAACAGGGAAGTGACATGATCTGATTTACTGTGCAGAAGACCCTCTACTTGCTATGTAGAGAATGGGGTAGAAAAGTAGACTAGAAGCAAGGACATCAGTTTGAAGACTGTATTTAAACTAGAGATGTCACTTTCTTAGATTCAGGATAGTAATAGTGACCAGTGAAAATTGTGTACAAATTCCAGATGCACTGACTAACCAGAGAGAAAATAATTAACTGTTTCATTAACCTCAAAAAAAGTTAGTTAAAATTATACAATTTCTCCTGGAAACTTAGCAAAAATTAAAATGGATAATTTATAATCCTGATGAGTATGTACTTGGGAAAGTACCGAAAAACCTCTAAAAAAGCAATTCACTACATAAGCCATCAAAAAGCCTTAAAAAATTCTCATAGTTCTCCACTTAGAAACTAGCATATACTGTCTTATTGTTGAATGAATTAATTCAAAAATAAGGAAACACATTTAAACACCAGATTTGTGTTCAAGGATGTAATTGTAGCACATTTTCTTGCAAAAAACTGAGGGACAACCTAAATATTAAGGAGTGGCTGATTATAGCTTATGATGAAGTACTAAGCTGCCTTTAAAATCATTCATTCTAGGCTTGGTAGGTCATGTCTGAAACCCCAGCTATTCAGAAGGGAGAGGTAGGAGAACAGTGGTTCCAGGCAGCCATGGCAAAGTTAGCAGGACACTCTATCTGAAAAACTAAAAAAGCAAAAGGACTGGGTACATGGCTCAAATGGTAGAGCCCTGAGTTCAATCTCCAGATGTGGGAAGGGGCAGAGAGAATCAGGTTCATCAAGGGCTTTCAGATATGTAAAAATGCTGATATTACACAACCATATAATTAACTAACAGAGCAGATAGTACTAGAGTCTTGTTTTCATGTTGATAAGGTTTAATACGCTAAATGAGTGCACAAGCCAGCAAATAATTTTGTAGCAAAAATTTAGTATTTACTAATCTAGTCTAGAATCAAAATTAAATGTCCGCTCAGGAAACTTGCATGTTCAATCCATTAGCTACTGTCATTACCTTACAGTGTTAGCTTCTTATTACCCTTGGAACTAAAAAAAGGAAGCAGGGAAGTTTCAGTTTTACTGGTTGTCTTGGTAATTTAAGAATAAACAATCACACATGGCACAGTCATGTTTAACAATTCCAAATTTCCAGTGCCCAGTACAGTACCTGGCACAGAACAGGAGCTCACTCAACAAACATTTTTGAGTCAGTATCACCAAAACTGAATCTTTTAGTGACCTAGCACCAAAGAAATTGAAAGCCTCAAAATGAAAAGAAGTACATAAAAAGTAATAGTGATTAATAATAATTTACAATATTGCAACTGGCTACAATGTATCAGGCACTAAAATAAACTCGTTCCACTTTAATCTTCACAATAATCCCTCTCTGAAAGAACTGTTTCACATCTACACCCAGGAAACGGGTTCGAAAATGTTAAGGAGCCCAAAGGTGACAGAAAGGTGAACTCAGATCTCCGGCACCTAAATGTGAACTGGAGAAAACGCTTCTTTCCACACACAATCCTATTTAGTACTGATTTCAACCTTGAATTGTGGTTAGCATCCGGCTCCGCTTCCTCAGCCCACCTCCCCCCCCCCCCGCCCCCGCTCAGACTTCCTTCAGTGCAAAGCACCATGGGGTGACAGCACACTTACAACTGGGCTTGACCCTAGGCTCGCCCCTCCCCCCAACCTGGTTGGTTCCATTTTACTGTGACTTGACAGCCCCTTCAATCCCGCCCCACAAACTGAGTCCCAGGAGGCGCGTGGCCGGGTCCTGTCGACAATGCCAGAAGCCCGGGCTCGGGGGCGATAGAGACAACCCCCAGGGGCGTGTGGGGGCGGTGCGTACGGTGGTTTCCAGGACAACTGAGCACTGCCCCTCCCCCGCGTCTCCGCCCCTAGCGTCTCGCCGCCCCGCCCCTCCCTGGGTTCCGAGACTCGGTTTCATGCGGGTGATGGCGCAGAGACGAAAACAGAAAAGCCTCTGTTCGTCTCACCTCTCAGCGCGTGGTGCATGCCGCCAATGCCGCTGTACAGCTCCAGGACCCGCAAGGCTTCCATCCCCTCGCTGCCGTGCCGCCGTAGCCTCGGAGCTAGGCCTACCGGTCCCTTGGTCCTTCGCCCTGACCCCCCACTTCCGGGCCGTTCCCTTCGTCTCTGGTTCCGCCGCATTTCAGTTCCCCCTCCCTGTGTCTCGGGCTCTGAATTTAACAGGGCGCCGCGGGGCTTGGGGCTGCCAGGGGTCAGCAGGGGAACAAAGGACAGAAAACAATAAGGCTTTCCAAGTGAATAGCAACCACTTTGGCGGTTTTTTTTGGTGGCCTTCGGTGGGAAAGAAACAGGGAGCTCAGTAGAGGGGTGAAAACTGCTTTCCATTCAAAGTGAATTACTAATTATAATCCAGAAAAAGACATTTTTAGACGAGCTGCTTTTCAGTCTCTTGGAAGTGTGCTCAAGCATCCCTTGGACTGATCTTGAGCACATTCCACATGCTCGGTGGTGTGCCTGTGCAGGGGTGATGGGGATAATCCCACCATCCTTTTCCTAGAGAAGGTCCCAAAATCACGAGTACTGAGAGCAGGGCCCTGGGTATGTCATGGTAACACAGGATGCTTGTTGAGATTGTTAATAGGGTTAATTAAATATCATGCCTGGAAAATACCCACTTGGAGGATATGTTGTTAATATTAGAACTCC